AAACTTCGCAGCGGCCTCAAACAGGATAAATTCTTATGCCAACACCAGAAGCCGTCTGAAGACGAATCAGTATGCGACCTTCATTTTTTTATTGTATACCTTTATTGTATAACACTATATACTGGGTGATGTGGAGTATTCTGATTCACCTTCGGACAATCCAGCGACCGCACATAATTATTTTCCATAGCCTAAGTTAATTAAAAATTAATAAATATCAAATAAAATTTATTCGAAAACAGGTCCATTTCGACCCGACACGGGCAATCAAAATCAGCTCTTCTCACCCGCAATCGGCACCTGCGATTCCTAAATAAATTTATCAAAAGAATAATTAAATTATTAGAAAAATAAAAATAAAATAATAATAAATATGAAAAGCGCGCATTCATGAGTTGATATCACGAATCAAATAAAAAGTGAATTGCCGTCACGCAATCACGGCGGAAAAAGCTACGTATCTGCGTGACAGCGATACGTGTGATCTATAATGGACGGCTGATCGAATCTGTCACAAAATCGCTTTTACTTAGCTAAACCGATGGGCTCAAGCCCACATTTTTCTCACGAGTAAATAAACGGCTTGATTATCCACGTGGCGCGCAGCCACGGGGGAATTAGCATAGGAGCAACAAACGGACGGTCACTTTGGTGGGTGGCGTTCGGTGGAAGCGGTAGCTACCCGTTCAATATTTTTTTTTTGGGGGGAAGGGGAAGTATTGGCCCGCTGCCGCGTTAGCTTGTGATGTGCTTGGCGATGTCCACTAGTCTCCTCGGCTGACTTAGATGAGCGACCCACACCCTTGCTACTCGTGGCCAGCACTTATTGGGTCCCCCCTAGAGGGGCGTCTACCGCCTGAGGGAATCGAACTCGGGATGGGGGTTCCCAACCAAGTACGCCCACCTACCAAGCTAAGCATCGGTGGGTCCTTTTTTTTTTGTTATTTCAACTCGCGGGCCTTCTCATTCCTAATAATATTTGCTTAATATTTACTTATTTAGATTATTTTTCTTCTTACATATATAACGTCTACTCACTTATAAGTCCGGGGGCTTCTTATTCCAAGTAATTAAATCTTAATATTATTTTAAATTCATAATTAGAAAAGACTATTTTAAAACAATTTTTTAAAGATAACTGATACGTCATGCAAAAATTATCTTGATTGGGCACGAATCTCGAAGCAAAAATCAAGTTGGAAACTTCAAAAATTAAATTCGGAAGCACCTGAACTCCGATTTCAGCGAGCTTACAGCCAAACTGAGCGTCTCGGAAATACGAACCCAACGACACCAAATTCAACTCAATCTGAGCCCAAATCGAGCACCCGAAGGGCTATTGGAAAGTTTGTACAACAATTTGAGTTACCAAACGGTCTCTGATTTTAACGAGCTTATAATCGAATCGAGCGGCTCGACAAGACGAATCTAACGAACCCAAGATCATCAAATTTCGATATCACTAAGGCCTTAAAATATCCAACGAACGGTGTATGATCGAGGGATTCAATATCAACCGTCCATTCAACCACTCCCTGTTCGCCCCTGATCTCGCACCTATTTACAAGCCATGCCACTCCATAAAAACTATAAATAGACCCCTCGTTTTTCATAAGAGGGGACCCAAGTAAGAGAGAGAAGATTAAGAGAAGAATAATAGAAGATGAGAAGAAGAGAAGGAGAATCAACTCCTCCTCGACCACCGCCGGAGTTCTTTTCCGCCGCCTGAATACGCCAGAATTCTGCCGGATATTCGGGAGACGCCGGAATTCTGCAGAACTTTGTAACTTTGTTTCAATTTAGAAGAAATTGATTGTAATCTGATCGGCCTAACTTGTGGGATGAATCAGCCTTTGTACTTCAAACAAACACTAGTGGAATTACTTCAACTGGGCGTGGCCCTGTGGTTTTTTCCCTCTTTCGGGTTTTCCATGTAAAAATCCTGGTGTTCCCTTTTTATCTTCTGTTTGTGTACGTGTGCTGAATATTCGTACAACGATTGGACGTAAAATCACAAACTCTATCGTCGCATATATTCTAGCCTGCAACAATAATAAATGTATAATAATAATGAAGAATCTATTTTTAAAATACATATAATTTTTTTACTAATTATTTTCTTACTACAAAAAAAGTTGAAAAGCAAATAAAGACAGAGTTCGTTTGGGATGACTTTTTTGTTACTTTTTGAAACAGAATTTTAGTACACAAATTTTGTTTTAAAAACAATAAAAAATAGTCCCAAACCAAGCCTTCATGGTTTGCTTTTCTATCACAACCATTATTTTCTTTTGTCTACTACTTTCAAAAAGATATGTTATCTTGAAGACAGTAACTGAAATGTCGGCGGACAGCAACTCTCAGCAAAACACCTGCAAAGGACAGCTCAGCAAAACGGTTATAACAAGACTGTGAAAGTACACTTCTTGTATTCTAGAGAATTCTATAGAAAGCTTATAAATACTTAATCTGTAACAAGATATGTGAAGTAATAAGATACTGAGTTACTCTGAATACTTCTTTATGGTATCAGAGCCATGGCGCAATCTTCGGATTCATCTCAGATCAGAGAATCAACATAAGCAACGAATGAAGAACCTACAATTCCTGCTTCACTCAAGTTCGTGATCTCAAATATCCGAAACATGGTTTCAAATCAACTAACCAGTGAGAATTATGCAATCTGGAAGTCACAGATTGTCAAATTACTCAAGGCAAATGGTTTTCTACAGTTTCTTCTTCCAAGCGCATGTCCGTCAGAATCAGATATGCAGGGAAACGAAGGAATCGGAACAAAATCAAGAAAAGCTGATTGGATTTTGATTGATCAAAATCTTGCAGCAGCGATATGTTCCACAATATCAGCATCAATCCTACCATACGTGATCAATCTAGAATCATCCTCAGAAATATGGAGTGTCATAGAAAGAAGACTGCAATCAACAAACAGGTCACGAGTAATACAGCTTAAAAATGAGCTGCACAACTTGAAGATGAACACACAAACAATGACACAGTATCTTACGGAGATCAAGACTATAGTTGATCAAATAACAGCGGCAGGCTCCACCATAGTAGATGAGGATATTCTCATGTACACGATCAACGGTCTTCCACCTACATATCAGGCGTTTAAAACGTCAATCAGAACAATGTTACATCCTATAAGTCTTGATGACTTATATTCACTTTTATTAAGTGAAGAAATTCATACTCAAAAAGAAGCATTGAGTAATCTGTCATTAACGGAAACTGCAACAGCTCTGTATTCATACAGAGGAAAAGGCCGCAGAGGCAGAGGAAGAGGAACACAATTCAGTCCAAGAACAGGGTCTACCAATCTTCCCACATGTCAAATATGTAATAAAAGGGGGCATACTGCAACAGAATGCTGGCATAGAATGAATCCAGACTATAAGCCTCAACCTCAGGAGACGAAACAGCAAACAACTCAGAAGGCAATGGTGATGACAACAGAACAAAACAGTCCAGATTGGTATCTGGACTCGGGAGCCTCATCTCATCTAACAAATTCATTGGAGAATTTGAATCAGCCAAGAGCATACATGGGCACAGATGCTATAACAATTGGTGATGGAAGAAATATTCCAATTGCTAATGCTGGATCAGGTATTATACCAACACCAAACAGTAAGCTTCGATTATCACAAATTCTTCATATTCCACAAATTTCTTACAATTTACTATCAATATCTGCTCTCACAAGAGACAATAATATCTCAATATCATTTGATGCTCATGGTTTTGTAATCAAGGACTTGCAGACCCATCAAGTTCTTCTCAAGGGACCAAGTTCTAAAGGCTTGTATCCCGTATCTGTATCAAATAAAGATGCTCTCACAGCAAGATAGCAGTCTCATCATTTGTGGCATAAAAGACTGGGGCATCCTCATCATCATATACTTCGGCTCATTTCAAATAAACACAAACATCTTCAAATACCCACTTCTCAAGAACTATGTCATGATTGTGTTCTTTCTAAAACTCATAAACTCCCTTTCTCCAAGTCTGAAAATAGAGCGTCCAGACCTCTTGCATTAATTCACTCTGATGTTTGGGGACCATCCCCGGTTGTATCGAGTCATGGATTTAAATACTACGTTGTATTCATAGATGATTTTTCTCATTTCATATGGGTTTTTCCAATGATACACAAATCTGAAGTTACACAACACTTCATAAAATTCAAAAATCTGATTGAAAATCAGCTTCAACACAAAATTCAGTGCCTGAGGTCAGATGGAGGAACTGAATATCTGAACTCACACATGAATACTTTTCTCACTCAACATGGCATACAACATCAGACCTCATGTCCCTATACACCTGAACAAAATGGTGTGGCCGAAAGAAAACACAGACATCTAATTGAAACCACTAGAACTCTATTACACTCGGCTCATTTACCTCTCGAGTTTTGGCCTGAAGCAGTGGTTACTGCATCCTTTCTAATCAATTGATTACCATAAAAAATTACACATAATACATCTCCATTACAACTCTTATACAAACTTGCACCTGATTATAAAATACTAAAAACATTTGGATGTCTGTGTTTCCCATTACAACCATCAAACAAGAGACACAAACTTGAACCCAAATCCATATCTTGTGTGTTTACTGGCTATTCATCTGTATCCAAAGGATACAAATGCTATGATCCAGTCACACGCAAAACTTATACATCTAGACATGTTATCTTTGATGAAACCAACTTTCCATTCAAAACAATTCAACGAAATCCAACTACTGATACTCACACCACTCAACAGCCACCTGACATTCTACTTCCTACATCGTGCATACAACCCAGTAATCACATAATCAATACTCACAACATAAGTACCACCTCTCTCAATACTCATAATTCTCATACTTCTACAAACAACACTACACATTCATCTCCTCAATCATTGCCTCGGATATCAGAAGCTACTGTTTTGGCAAATCAGCCAAATGAAGTGACATCTACACATCATATGATTACAAGGCAGAAAACAGGTTCACTTCGCCCAAAACAAGTATTCAACTTATTACATACAAATACTGATGAAGCAGAAATCAACAACAGTGATCCTACCTGTTACACTGAAGCAGTCAAGCACAGCCATTGGCGCAAGGCCATGGCTGAAGAATTTTTGGCACTACAGAAGCAGGGTACATGGCATCTAGTTCCACATCCAGCAAATGTACCAGTATTGGGATGTAAGTGGACGTATAAAACGAAACGGCATTCGAATGGGTCCGTAGCAAGGTTTAAAGCCAGGTTGGTAGCACAAGGGAACAACCAAGAATATGGGATCAATTATCAAGACACGTTTAGCCCAGTAGCTAAATTTCCCACAATAAGAGCATTGATAACAATAGCTCTATCAAAACAATGGCCCATACATCAATTAGATGTAGTCAATGCATTTCTCCATGGTAATCTTGAGGAAGAAGTGTATATGATCACAAAATCGCTTTTACTTAGCTAAACCGATGGGCTCAAGCCCACATTTTTCTCACAAGTAAATAAACGGCCTGATTATCCACGTGGCGCGCAGCCACGGGGGAATTAGCATAGGAGCAGCAAACGGACGGTCACTTTGTTGGGTGGCGTTTGGTGGAAGCCGTAGCTACCCGGTCAATAATTTTTTTTTTGGGAAAATTTGGGGCACAACCCTTTGATATATCAAAAAACAATTACAAGTAATGAAAAAACAGAACTATAACTCCAATTCTCAGAAAAAGGAGAAATGAAGTTCTAAATAAACCAAAATTACATAATGAAAAACAAAGAAAAGAAGAATGGCTCAGGAGCCAAAAGGACTCAGGTAGTTCTGCCAATTCACGAAAAGGGTCAGTTCACGAACGGGTCTGGGCAGAACAATTACCCCTGGTTGCCATAAGACCGTCCAAGGGGTTGCTAAAATCTTAGCAATCATCATTGTCCTATCAAAAAAATCACCCAGGCAACCTATAAGAGGGACAAAATTTACAGGCACCTCAAAAGAGAAAACAGCAAAACCGTCAAAAGCAGATTCCTTCCTCAGGCTACATACAGCCTCCAGTCCACCACTTTTAACCGTGTTTCCAGTCAGAAAAGAAATAAGAATAGTCTTTCCTCCAGTAATTCCTCCAAAGGCAAGGTGCAGGTAATGTATAGCTTTCCAGAGATAATCCATCCCATGACATGTAGTATTTCCGGTGATATCAATCAAACAGGCAATCGTGTATAGCAACAGCATATGAAAGTAGTTGAACCTCAAAATCAGAGAAAATCTTAGTAACACAAATGTATAATAATAATGAAGAAACTGTTTTTAAAATACATATAATTGTTTACTAATTACTTTCTTACCACAAAAAAAGTTGAAAAGCAAATAAAGACGGACTTCGTTTGGGATGACTTTTTTATTGCTTCTTGAAACAGAATTTTAGTACACAAATTCTATTTTAAAAAACAATAAAAAAATAATCCCAAACCAAGCCTTCATGCTTTGCTTTTCTATCACAACCATTATTTTCTTTTGTCCACTACTTTCAAAAAGATATATTATATCCGCAACAACTTTAAATCATAGTTATAAAAAGTTATAGTTATCTCAAACAAACCTTTTATCTATCAACCCAAATTTTTTTCTTAGAATTTTTTATAAATATTGTGACACCGGACCGGAGGGGCTCGACAAATCCACGTCGACGATCCGGTGACAGTTGTCGGACACCACTCTAAGAACTCATTGGAGAAAGAAACCACCACCTAAGAACAAATCTTATGATACATGAACTCACAATAGAGTAAAACTCTAATTTTATTAATCTCCAAAAATCTCCCTATTACAATGAATGGCTATGTATTTATAGACATGTAGCAACATAATAGGCTACACACAATCAAAAGCAAGCACTAAACCTATGTAGTCATATAAGCTACCAAATGGAATAAAATTAGCCTAAATTTAATACAATCAAACAACTCAGCTCTGTCGTCATACTACTGGGGTAGGAGAAACTTCAGACTCATAAGAAGATGTCCAATTTTTCACACTAAGGAGGTGTGTTTGGTTGACTAAATCGGTCTGGATATTTCCACCTGATGTCTTTCTTCCCTTCTATGAGAGACTTCAATATAAGATGAAATCAATGACGAATGGGATAGTGGACAAACTCAAAATGCATCTTTATTAGCACCTTCTCATTTTCAAGTTCAACATCTTCTGGCATGAAGCTATTATTGATTACTGGATCGGTTGAAGAGGCCTCGGAATTTGAATCAGAGAATCCATAGTGATGAATCCCTGGTACTACAATCAGGAGGGAGCTTGATGTAAATCAATGTTAGAGTGAAAAAGTAGCTCATAACATTTATTTCTTCTAGTCACCAAGTTTCCATCCGGTCCAACGAGATAATCAATTTGCTGATATAGTTGTGGAAAGTTGTATCTGTTCAGGAATCCATGAGTTGGAAAACCTTTGCTGATAATGACGCCGGCGACGATGGCGACATGATGACGAACAAAAATGCGAGAGCTGTCCGAATATACAAAGATACCAAGGTGGTTGCCATGTTCTGGTTGGATCATACCAATTCCATTATCATTGATGGAAAGCACATCCATCGCCTTATTAGGGATGATATGCATGACTAACTCCTATTGGCCTTTTATCTTGCTATTCTCATTAACATCATATGTGGGTTGCTTACCATCAAGAACTCCATTGAACGTGTCGTCATCATACATGTCGTACACATGCTCATCTTAAAAAGGAAAACATGACAATTTCGACAACGGATCTTCAAATTCTTCAAAGCTGGACTCGATTGAGGGTGGGGTAGAAGATTGACGAGGTGGTCCTTCAAATACGTACGTCGTTGCCAAAAAAAAAAAGAACCGATCATCTAAGATACCCTCTCCATCATTGGTTCGTAAGCATTCGGTTTGAATAGAAGATCTATAAGCTTCCAACGAAACATATTTTCCTTATCGTCGGATGCCAGCAATGTCCTGGGCAAGAGGACTCAAATCATTCCTTTGTTCCATTCTTGACAATCGTAATTTGAGTTGGACAATTTCTTGTAAAAGATCTTCGATTTCTGCTTCTTGACATGATCGCTGCCGAGTCCGACGAGGCCACATCTTGCTATGTTAATTTATGGACCAAGAATCAGAATTCTACGGTTCTTAGTGGCTAGAATATGCTAACAACAGCTCTCTTGTGAGCCTAACACTTGACGCCGAATCCCAGATGATCTCACATAAAAAACAAAGAGAGCATGAAACTTGCGTTGAGCACCAACACCAACAAGAAAGAACGTCCAGACTAGAGAAAACTCACAAAGTCTTAGGAAGCACCACCTCACTACACGAAGAGGATTTGGTTTTCAAGAACTAAAGATCTTGCCTTCAATCTATTATAAGGATTTGTTATTGCGATCCAGACAGTAGAAGGTGGCTGTCGGCCCGCCACCTGAACTCCTGTGGGTACAGACAAGAACAAACTCTTTTTTTCTCGTACTGTAGATGAGAAGATCTTTCGGTGAGCAAATGACACCGCTCCTTCTTCTTGGAGAGGCGATATCTGGTTTATTCCACAGAGCAACGTCACCACAAGCATCTGCTTCCTTCGCCTAGCTTCACCACCAAGAAATTGATTCTTCCTTCCGAATCAGAAAAGATCATCGGCTATATTGGCAATGCCAGTATCTCGCCGGCTCTGATACCAAATGACATTGGACCGGAGGGGCTCGACGAATCCATGTTGACAATCCGATGACGGTCGTCGGACACCACTCCAAGAACTCATTGGAGATAGAAACTACCACCTAAGAACAAATCTTAGGATACATGAACTCACAATAGAGTAAAACTCTAATTTTATTAATATCCAAAAAGCTCCTTATTATAATGAATGGCTAGGTATTTATAGACATGTAGCAATATAATAGGCTACACACAATCAAAAGAAAGCACTAAACCTATGTAGCCATATAGGCTACCAAATGGAATAAAATTAGGCTGAAGTTAATACAATTAAACAGCTTAGTTCCGGAGTCATATTGTTGCTTGCTAGAATAAATGTAGTGATAAAGTTATAATATTGCGTCTTAGCGTTGTATAGATATTCAGCTCACATACATAAAACACAAGATTTTTTATGTAGAAAACCCTGAAAAGGGGAAAAACCATGGGGTCTTGCCCAGTTGAAATGATTACAATAGTATTTGGGTAGATTACACTGGGCTAATTCACCCTCGAGGGTGATGAGAATACAAGTGTCAATCATATGGTTGAATTCGGGGGGTAGAAGAAAGTCCGGCCTCATTTAGTGGTCTAACAGAAGTCCAAAGTCACTTGGAAGTTCGGGTGTATGTTGGTAGTCTGACGGTGGTTCAATATAAGTCTTACGTCAGATGGTGGTCCGGTGGAACTCCGGTCGTCAAGTGGTGATCTGGCAGAACTCCAGGAGTCAAGTGGTGGTCCGGCGGAACTCCAAACCTCAAGTGGTGGTCCGACGGAACTCCGACGTTAGGTGGTGGTCCGGCGAAACTACATGCCTCAAGTGGTGGTCCAGCGAAACTCCGGGCCTCAAGGGTGATTTGGCAGAACTCCCGACCTCAAATGGCAATCCACCAAAAATCCTGGCCTCGAGTGGTGGTCTGGCGAAACTTCGGCGTCAGGCGGTGGTCCGGCGGAACTCTGAGCGGTGGTCGAGAAGGAGTAAAGAGGCAAGAGCGATCTTCGATCTCTCTCTTATTTATTTTGGCTTGAGGCTCCCTTTCATGAGAAAGGGTGGCTCTATTTATAGATTTTCTAGGGTGGCATGACCCGTAAATAAGAGGAAGACAAGGATATTTTGGGAGTAGTTTGTATGGGCGGCCAATATTGATTCTCTTGATCATAAACCGTTTGTTGGACATTTGGACATCTTAGTGACATCAGAATTCAGTGATATTGGGGTCGTTGGATTCTTCTCGTCGAGCCGCTCGATTCGACTATAAGAATGTCACATTTATAAACCGTTTGGTAATCCAAATTGTGGTTTGAACCTTTTAACTGCTTTGGGTCCTTGATTAGGACCCATTTGGGCTCGGATTGAGTTGAGTTTGGTGTCGTTGGGTTCATATTTTCAAGATGTTTAGTTCAACTACAAGTTTACTGAAATTAGAGTTCGGATGATCCTAATTTTAATTTTGGATGTTTACAACTAGGTTATCCCTCGAGATTCGTGTCCGATCAAAATAATTTTAATTTTGGACGTTCAGCTCGTCGTACGAGCATATCAATCACTATATGACTCCTAAATCCTAAACTAGTTTAATAATTTACTATATAATAGGGAGTACAATTATCCTACAAAGTGGGTGAGATTTGAGCTCATTTGTGTGGTCATTTTTCTTTGTAAAAAAAGTTTTCAAACATAATTATGTGTTTAATTTGAGCTTATTTAGAGTCAGATCGGATCATTTAATAACATAGATATGCATTATGATATTTACTTTTGATTATAAATTTGGTGAAATTGAAATTTATATGATCCTAAATTTAATTAAAAAACATCAAAATACATGGAGAACATAGGCATTTTCTGTAGCATCAAAATTCCTTCACTTTATTCTACTTGATCATCCACTTGGCCCGACATATGAGTGGGCGGGTTTAAGCCGGATCCGAACCAACCCGCCCAATGCCTTGTTCTAGTGTATAGTTCCCGCGTGCCCCATTTCTCGCTCCGATTTCGTTATCCCCGTCCACCACTTGGCCGCCACAGATCAAACAATGAAGAAATTGTCGCGCGCGTTTCAACCTCCCATCGCCGATCTCGCGCCACTTTATTCGCGTTCACCGGTAGATCTCCCTGGCCACTTCCTTTGTTTCCTCTTATTCATCCACCGAACCGTGTTTCGAGAAGAAGTCCCAGAATCCTCGTTCGGCTCCTTCTCTTTTTATCGAAGAACAACCGATTATTTAACTGCTGACCTGCATTGAGGCGGCTGCGGGGAGGCGATGCCATGTCGGAATCTGGCTCGTTCCATGGCGGTGCCGTTGGGGATTACAAGACCTTTCGCCAGACTAGCCGCGATAGTCAGTCTCTTCGCTTAAATTCTTCTTCTATTATCTTACAATTTGTTGTCTATTGTAATAATAACTGCACCATGTATGATCTCAGTAGAATAACAAATGTGGGCTGTTGGTGCTAATTGCTGCGTTTTAATCTTAAAATTAAGCGTTTTTGTTTGTACGGGGAAGCGTGAACAATGTGATTATCAGAAGCCATCAATGCTGATCTCCGACGGTGCCACCACTTTCCTTCCTCAATCAACAAGAAAGAAATATTCGTTGTTGTTTTGTTTCTTTTTTTTTTAATATATTTTTAATCATTCCAATCAAACTAGGGAAAATTGAGGATCTTATTTATTTGCTTCCATACTTCTTGGTCATCTATGTGGAGCCCAAGGTTTTGGGATAGACCGATAGCCTACTGCAAAAGCAGTTCGACGCCAAAGGAGACTATTTCGAGTCAAAGTCCTATAGAAAAATGTAAATAAGATAAACTCAATATATGGTAGACTATAGAAAAATGTACATAAGAAAAGACTATATGGTAGAGTACAGAAAAATGTACATAAGATAAATTCAATATAGCTTGTCGTGTATATTATTATTTCGAGTCAAAGTCCAATATGTAGCTTCAAATTGAAGGTTGGAGCCAGAGCTTGCTAGCGGTAGCTCTTCTTGGTCGGTTAGGGACTGATCTAGACTAAACAATTTGTATGTGTCCGTCTCTTACCGATCAATTACGAACAACTCCTATATGTATAATATCAACGTTGTTCTCAGAGGAACCACTATTAGTTCTTACATGGAAGAGTTCTACTACCTTAGTGCGAGGAACAATCTTACCATCGTAGCAAACCCAATCAACAAATCGTAACTACATACATAGGAGGCTTGAAGGAAGATATACAAGACAAATTTGAGATGAATGTTGTATATTTGTTATCACAGGCCGTATATTACACATATAAGTTGGAGATTCAACTCAACTACGGCTCCAAATCAGCCTCATACAATAAACCACCCACTGAACTGAGTAGTGACATGGTAAAAAGTTCTCCTCAAAGCATTAGACAAAATCCCCTTTAGTGGCAATCGACCATGTTGAATGCTATAAATAATGAAATTAAAGCAGTTAGCAAGATAGGTTTGTTAGACCGGTCCAGCCGGCCCATACGGGACCGGTTGAACGTAACAAGAGGCCGAAGAGTCCGCCTCCTATATGAGCCGCAAGTTCCACGGGAGCCAATTTGGAAGGATTTTTTAGGGAGTTAGGAGGGAAATTTTAATGTAGGGACTGCTTAAAGATTTCCTTTTTGATTGTATGCATTAAATAGTTGTTTTCCTAGGGTTAGGGCATCTTGAATTTCGCTAAAATTTGAGATCTCTTAGGTTTAGGTTTTCTTTTGGGCTCTAGCGATGTCTAGAGATTTGGGAGAGATAGATCCTCCTCTCGAATAGAGGATCCATTGTATCTTGCTATTTTCCATTTCCCTTTCATCAAATAATTCAAATTATTTGATGTTTTCATGAATTTCTGTGGAGAAATCTCTTTGTTTTCCGAATGTTGATAGGAAATACTTGAGATCTACACGTGTTTCTTTTCAAATTGGTATTAGACCAATTTCCTGGGCTGAAATAGAAGTCCTCACTGATTTATGCTGCATTTTCCTCTCCGATCTTATTGTTTTTGCTGTTTGCGAGGCCATATTCACGTCAAGCTTGTTGATCTTTGCTATTGGAGCCTAAATCCATATTCCCATGGCTGGAAGAAAGGTAGAAGTATTGGAAGGGGAGATCGGACAAATGAAATCTGAAATTTCGGATCTCCAAACTCAAGTTTTAGATATAAAAAAGGATATCTCCGTCATCCATGATAAGTTCGATTCAAAATTTTCCATCCCAGAGGAGATGTTGAAAAAGTGCATGAGGGCCAAACCAAAATATTGTCATCAGAGGTGAGGGAAGATGCCGACTGCCAAGGAAGTGGGGAAAACCCTAAGCCGATCAGACGAATGGAAGATCAAGAGGTGGAGATTTTGGAGGGAACAGAAAAAATGCCTCCCCTAAGGCTTCCTAGGGAGGAGTCGGATAAAGGGTATGTGGAGAGGCGTGAGGGGGTGGGGCATGAGTGGAGGGATGTTGAATTTGAAAGAAGAGATGCTGAATTTGAAAAGCGAGGACTTGACTATGATCGAAGAGGTGTCAAATTTAAAAGGAGAGGGGTTGAATATGATTGAAGGAGTGTTGAAATTGAAGGGATAAGGTGGGCTTGTGGTGAATGGTTTGGGTGCGAGCGGAAGAGAGATGATCGACACGATTGGGGGGAACCAACCCCTTGGGGAATGAAAAATTTTGGAGGAAGCAGAGTCGACGGAGGAGATGATTATTTTTTAGGGAGAAGATCCACATGGGTTATTTACAGGGTGGAAATATATTTTATTGTCAACAGGCTGATGAAGGAAGAGAGGCTGACGGTAGCTGGCCTATGTTTGGAAGGGAAGGCTTTGGCTTAGTACCAGTGGAGGGATATGTGATGACCTGTATGGAGTTGGAGGGAGTTCAAGGATTGTTTAGTAGAACATTTTCGAATTGGCAGGGGAGGAGACTTCTACGAGCAGTTCTTCACCTTGACATATGATGGTTTAGTGATGGAATACCAGGAGAGATTAAAGCACCTTGCTAGCTGATTGGACCGCCTTTCTGAGACAATGCTAGAGGAAAATTTCATGAAGGGACTGACACCAGAGATCCGGGCAGCAGTTAGAGTGATGAGATCTTGTGACTTGTGAGAGGCCATGAAGCTAGCTCAGTTGGTGGAGGATCAGAGACACCTAGAGAGAGAGAGACGAGAGGCAGCAGCTTAGGAGGCTCGTATAGGATGACCACCACATTATTGGCATCATAAGAGCCAACATCAGATATTTTTCGAGGGACTTCAAAGGAAAAGATTGCAGGAGAAAGACCTGGGGACGACATCAAGAAGCTCATAGAAACAGAATTACAGGAAAAGAGGGCGAAGGGGCTTTGTTTCAGATGTGACGAGAAGTATACTCTGGGGCACAGGTGTAATGATTGAACTCTTCAGGTCCTTATCGTTTGTGATGATGAGGAAATGGAGGAAGGTGTTGTCTTTCCACCTTGCAGATAAGGTGGATTGTTCGGAGGGGAGTATTGTTAGACCGGTCCAGAGAGTCCGCCTCCTGTATGAGCCGCAAGTTCCACAAGAGCCAATTTGGATGGATTTTTTGGGAGTTAGGAGGGAAATTTGAATGTAGGGATTGTTTAGAGATTTTCTTTTTGATTGTATGCATTAAATAGTTTGTTTTCCTAGGGTTAGAGCATCTTGAATTTAGCTGAAATTTGAGATCTCTTAGATTTAGGTTTTTTTTTTGGGCTCTAGTGAAGTCTAGAGATTTGGGAGAGATAGATACTCTTCTCGAATAGAGGATCAATTGTATCTTGCTATTTTCCGTTTCCCTTTCATCAAATAATACAAATTATCTGCTGTTTTCGTGAATTTGTGTGGAGAAATCTCACTGTTTTCCGAAAATTGATAGGAAATACTTGAGATCTACGAGTATTTCCTATCAAGGTTCACCTGAGATAACATTTACAATAAGCTCGAACCATCTAAATGGTTTATATACTTCCATCCTGGTCATAGATCTAATATGTGCTCCAATCATTGGTAGATACATTTAGTTGATGATGAATCCAAGATCTAACCCGGTGAAGTATTTCCCTTGATTGAGGAGTTTAAGGGCGTACCTGGAGATGAAGTTGAATTTCTATTATGCATTCTCGAAAAGGTATTATTAGCTTCGAAGCAACCCATAGCAAGGCAATAGCATGCAATATTTCAGACAAGGTTCATTATTAGAGGAAAAGTCTGCAAACGCAACATGGACATTAGTGCACATAGAAATTTTATTGCTTAAAAAAAGGCTGTGAAGGCACTAATTAAATACAACAAAGCATACTCATCCGCACAATATCAGTTGGATCAAAAAAGGGTTGATGTTTTTGTAACCGATCTATGCAAGGTAAGCTTCTCTGTTGGCAAAAAATTTATTTGCCAAGTTTTATGAGATCTCACAAATATGAATGTGTTACTTAATCCTGGGAAAACCATGGCGATTCAACATGGGAGCATGATACGAATGCTGCACAAATGCTTATGCATTTAAGTAGGGCAAGTAAATTAGGCTACTTCCATGCCTTCTCCAAGCAAGACCTTGTTGCTGATAAATTTGCATGCATTATTTTCTCAAACTCTCAGTTGCTCTTAGCTTGCTAGAATGAGAATACGGTGTTTCCCTTGCTAATGGCTAAACCGAACACTTCCTCTTAGAAGGTCCTTCCCACCGTGCAATATTTGCTGCACAATTTGGTGATATAGAACTTCCTAATCAACTTCACCAATGTGAGTGATACAACACCAAATTGTCCTTGTCCAGAGGCTAAATTACTGAATTAATACTTTATAGAATGAATCTGAAGGAGCATTAAATCCTACAAGAAATTGGTTGAATTACTGTGAAAGAAACTTATTCGACATTGTGAACCCATACACTGTACCTACCTTTATCATCATAGAAAAGCAAAGAACCTGGCGCATGTGCATCGATAGTCGAACATTGAGCAATAATCACAATTAAGTCCTACTTTCCCATGCCACAATAGAAGATTTGTTAGATAAACTCTATGGAGCTTTTATATTCTCCAAATTGGACCTTCATAATGGGTAACATTAGATTCCCATTTGACCCAACGACAAGTAGGTGGTGTTCAAGACCTGTGAAGAATTGTATGAATGTCGAGTCAAACTGTTTAGGCTATGCAATGCCCCAAGCACTTTTATGCAGTTGATGAATAAGGTATTCGAACCTTTTATTGGTCATTTTTGTGCTATTTATTTTGACGACATTTTGGTTTATAGTGAATCCCTAGACGATCATCTATACTACCTCATGCTATTATTTTCCATTCTTTGAAAAAATAAGCATAGTGGAGATATTATTTTGGCCAACATTGTTGTCAATCACAGAAGGCCATAACTTCCATGGAATTGCAAACTTCTATAGACGCTTTATCCACAATTTGAACACAATTGCAGTACCACTTATGAATTGTTTCAAGCTCAAACACCTTATTTGGGGGCAAGAACAACAACATAGCTTCACACAATTCAAGGCACTCCTCAGCCTGACCTATATATTGTGAACTTTGAGAAACAATTCTATGTTGCTACTAATGCTTTTGCAATTGGCGTTGGGGTAGTTCTTACACGAGTTGAGAAACTTATGGAGTTATCTAGTGAAAAGCTCAATCTTATGAGCTAAAAACGTGGTCATTATATGAGCATGTATTATATGTTTTCATCCAAGCTTTGAAGTAATAAGAGCACTACTTACTCTACCAATAATTTGAAGTGCTAAGCGACCATCAACCACTATGATTTTTGCAATCTCAATGAAATCTCAGCCGTATGCATATTCAGTGGGTTGTATTTTTGCAAAATTTCAGTGTCGTTTTGAAACACTAAGTAGGAATAAAAAACCACATGGCCTAGGCTCTTAGCCGACCATCCAACCTCATTCTCACCATTCAAATTAGTATCATGGTGTGGAGGCACTCCGAGAGCTATACACAAGTGACAAAGATTTTGCCACCCATTAGATTAATTGCAACAATCTCTTGCCATCATGGGCCTCCTCCATCCACAAAGACTATCTCTTCAAGGGAAAACCGTTATACATTTTAGACACATCACATCTATAACAACTCATTAAAGAATATCATGGTGGAAAATTAGCATCTCATACACGCAAAGATAAGACATTTCAATTTGTGCCATCTTGATTTTTTGGCCAAGATTGCGACAAGATATTTGTCAATTTGGTGAGAAGTGCACTACCTGCCACAATTTTAAAGGAACTTGTCAAAGCACTAACATATACACCTCCTTATAGGTACCATACTCCATTTAGGAAGATTTTAGCATTGACTTTGTGTCGAGGATGCTGCAAATTGCACAAGGAATGGATTTATTCATGGTCCTATTTAGCAAGATATCCCACTTCTTAGGTTGTAAGAAAAATTTATAGTGTAGTTATCGTGGATAAACTTTTTAAGGAGGTTATACACTTACATATCATTCCTTAGTTTGGCATTATAATGGGATGTTAAATTCTTCGACTGTTTATGGAAGGAACTTTTGAAGTGGCTTCAAACTAAATTACGACTCAGTTTTGCATATCATCCACAAAGTGATGGCCAAACAGAGCTAGTAAACTGTACTTTAAGTAGCATAATTTGGTTTTTTGCTGGTGATCAATCTAAGCAATAAGACAAAATATTAGTTCAAGCCAGATTTGCCTTCAATTCTATGATAAGCATATCCATTGGCTGAAAACCCTTTAGCATTGTTAACACATTCACCAAATCTCATAATGGATATTATTGTTCTTGCAAAACCCAAGATCTCTCGAGTCATCCAATGGGTTATTGAATTTGATGTAATAGTTCAAAAAGTTGAGAAACTCAAGTCCGATACGAAGTATAAACTGACAGCAGACACAACGAAAATAAAATATTTTCGAAGTCGGCGATCTCTTCATACTTTGCCTACGCAAGGAAATATGTTCCTATTCGAAGCTTCAACCACAAAAATTTGAACTATTCCCTATGTTCAGATGAATTAATGATAACGCATACGTTAAATTGATCCCCTCTGATCTCAATTTCTTCTTTACATTCAACGTGGCTGATCTTTACACTTACCACCTCCCATGAAGGATAGACTCTAACTCTTTGATAAAAAAACCTTGTGATTTTATGGATATTTTGTTAGGTTTTAATAATTAATTATTAAATACTCAGTGAGCATACATTATAGTTAATCAAAGGCTAATCAATTAGGTCTTCAACAAGTTATGAGCAACTAGAAATTAGGACATTAAAGAACTAATTAATTAATTGATTTATCAAATAGATAATTTGGATTTTAATTAGTTAATTCATGCTAATTTATGAGTACTTAAAAAGTGATCAGTTTATAATTTGAAGGGAAGGTGAATAACACAATTCTTGACTTTGTAATTAGTGATTAGTCAGTTATTAATAGCTCCTCATCTCTTTTTCTCTCTTTCTCCTTCTCTTCCTCATTTGTATCCCAATCCTTTCATATTCTTCTTTGTCTTACCTAAGTGGACGTTGTTGCACTAGTGATTAACCTAACCGCGGTGGATGTGTGATTAGCCTAATTGTTGTGGAGGCATTATAAGCCAATTAGCAGTAAGGAAAACCTAATATGCTAATCTCACCATTATGGGATTGTGAAATCTGGAAGTGCCTGAATAAGCAAATAACGCTGGTTAATAACTCAATTAAGGTTAGCCAAACAACCTTGAGATTTTTAATTAAATTGTAAAATTGTTTATTGCTATAGGATAAATGTGAGTTTTTTTTTTTCTATTAAGGTAGAAATTGATACGGCGGATTTGAACTGGCAATTAAGTGCTCGCATGAAAGACATAATAATAAGTGAATCGTCAATTTAAAGTATAATAGAATATATTTAAAGAATACAATGCCATGAGATGATTGATGAATGGAGGATCTTAATCATGATTGTTTTGAGTCGAGAAACTATGGGGCATTGGAAAATTCTTGTTCACTTGTTTTATGAATAATTTTTACTTATTGTGGAAATTTTTTCAGCATTATTATTATGACTCTACCCAACATAACCCATATTTCCTAACGGGTTATTTTAGGTTAGGTGCGGAACAGAGAAATTGCCCAAGATCTATTTGGAATAAATTTCCTTTTATCTCCTATTTAATAATAGAGATCATGATTATTGTATAAAACATTTTGATAAGAATAATAGTGTAATGACCTTTTTTGTAGTAATTAGATTATTTGTAGTAACCTGATAAGGATCTGATAGGAAATCTTATGTTATTTAAGATTTATGAAAAATTTAATGCATATGTTGATGATTTCTTCCAAATAGATCTTGGGCAGTTTTTCTGTCGTGTTCCTAACCTAATATAACTTACTAGGACATATGGGTTATTTTGGATCAGTTTGTGCAACTATCTAGCTCTGTTCTATCAAAAGCATTTTATATATATCAAATATATATGAACCAATTGCAGGAACATACAATTTACTGGCTCTGAACTATTAAAAAAATCATATATCATTTTTTACGGTCTGAAGTACATTTTCCTAGAAGTTTTCCTGCCTTCTAGCTTTGCTACTTACTTTCTCTAGTGGTTGTATGCAGAATTTCGCTTTTAGCCTCATACTTTACATGATTCTATGATACTAGGGCTGTTGCTTGAAATGCTTCGCTCGGCAAAAGTGACGGAATCCAAATCAACTTGGAAGGTGCTTTTGATTCATTTTTTAACGGTTTTCTGTTTTACTTATTTATTCATGTATTTCTGCTTATTTTTCCACTCGTTGTCCACTTCTGCTTAGTTTGGTTCCGTTGGTAAAAAATTAATAAAAAAATATCTACATAATTTTCTATTTAAGCTAGAGAACACTTGTTAGATAATTACTTCTACTTATCTTGTGTCTGTAAAAAGGATGAGTTTCTATTGTCTGTTGGTTAACTAGCATCATAATTTAGCTTTTGATAGTGCTTATCCTATGCTAAATCATAAATTGGCCTGGATAACGGGCTAGTGTAGCTTCAGATGCTGCATGTTTGCCTTTTGGGTGATTTTAGGGTGAGAAATTAGGCTGATAAAGTTGTGAGCTATCGATGCATAAGCCCTTAATAACCAAACCTTGACATGGCTTTTAACTATTTTTTTATTGTAATTTTGATATCATAACCAATTCAGTTATCTGCAGCTGCAACACCCTCAATCTTAGGCCTCATTTGGGACGGCTTTTTTGCTGCTTCTTAAAGCAGCTTTCTGGTTAAAAAGTTTTAATTTTTGTACAAGAATGCTATTTTTAGAAGCAGGAAAAAAGTTATCCCAAACGAAGCCTTATTCAACTATCTTGGGCCTCCAAACAACGGGAATGCTGCATTGGAGTATGTGCCATGCAGTAATAAGTTAGAGGGTTTGGGAGGGAAGAGGAAGGATTGAAAAACATGACATTGACCATCCCAAAAACTTCAGGAACAGTTAGCATTACCAAAATGGCACCCCCTCCCTACATACAATGTCATAGCATGTACTGAAACTTTTAGATGCACGTCATGCTATACATTTCTCTTGTCAACACAGTTGTCATCAATACCATATCATCATCATTAGTCTTGTCCAAAAAAATTGGGATTGGCTTTACAAATCATCCTTCTCATTCATTTTTATTTAGTGTTGCTTTAACTATTAATTGTAATTTACACAAGTTTTTTTTTTGGCACATTATCAAGTTTATGTAGAACTTTCTGCGGAGCTTGTACTATTGTCAATTGGGAAATTTAATATCATTCAGATGAATTTTCTATGATAGAGAACTTTGTCATTCATTTTAAATATGCAAAATATCATTGATGACAATTCTCACCTGATGTTTTTGTAAGCATTTTACACACTCACTGACCATATTAAATATTCACCGTTGCACAATTTTCTTTATCTAGGTACTAATAACGGATAAATTTACTGTCAAAATAATGTCCTATTCTTTCAAGATGGCAGATATCACAGATGAGGGAATTTCATGTAAGTACATGTTGAATTAAAAAAAAAACTCTCTCTATTTCATCATGTTTCATTTCTGGTTTTAGCATGTCGTTTCTTCAGTTATTGTGCTGTTTAAATTTGTCCCAAAGGTATATACTTTTTGCAAGATACTTATTACTTTTTTAAGTTGAGCTTGCAGAGTAATGCTTTAAGAACTCCTTCAAAAAATTTCTTGCAGTGGTAGAAGATCTTTTCAAAAGAAGGGAGCCAATGACTTCAATGGATGCAATATATTTTATTCAGCCAATTAAAGAAAAGTAAAGGTTTTCTTGGATATAATGTACCTTTTTTTCAGTCATGTGCAAATGCATTGCTATATATATATATATAATTTGTAATTGTATTATCTTGTGTTATGGATTCAGTCTTAATGCTTTCATTTAGTAAGAATTAAATTGCATGTGGTGCGGTTTTTTACCATCTTGATTAATCTTTCACAATGTCGATTGTTTATAAGCCTAATTTATTTCCTGGGTGGATTAGCTAAGTAAACTATGATTAAGCATTTACTAGTTGAACCTATTCTTTTGAGTACTGCAATGGAAGTAGATGCACTTGTTTCTCAAGAGCTATTTTTTATGCTAACTGTCTGGGAAAATAAAATTTGCAACCTAATAGATGTGTATTTTTTGGATGATTTAGCATCTTTTTGAAAGATAACCCCCTCCTGTCTGAACACACGTCCCCCTACGTCAGCATCTCACTTGCAGGAGAACTTCTATTCCCTCCTATGACCGATTGATTGATGACGAAAGACTAAATTTATCCGTGATACAGACGTCGCAACTGCAAACTGAAGGATTTGAAGACTCGTGTCGGGACCAATCAGCGTCCCGAAGCCCTCGACCATCAACATTTTGATCTAGCTAGGCGGATTGAAAGGGCAAGTGCCCTCCCTATCTCCCTTTGCTGGGCCGGGAGGTTGCCGGATTTTTGGGAAAGAATATATAACATTTCCAATAAAAAACAATAAACAAGAACCTTGAAATGAAAACCTAAAGATTGTATCGGGACTAATCAGCATCTTGGAGCCCTCGACCGTCCACTTTTTGATCTGTCCGGGCAATTTGAAAAGACAAATGCCCTCCCAACATCCCTTTGTGGGGAGGGGACGTCGGGATGCTACCAAATTTTCAAGAAAATAAAAATATGACATTTTTAATGAAAATTATAACATGTGTCTTATTTGAAGACCAGAAGACCTATACCTGGTTAATCAACATCTTGAAGCCCTCGGCCGTTGAATATGTTATCCGACCAAGTGGATTGAAAGGGCAAATGCCCTCCCTACCTCCCTTCGTGAGGAGGGGTTGCCAGAAGGTTATCAAATTTTATGTTGGAGAGCTTTTGGAGAGCAATCTAAGAGCCATTCTAAAACATCATTTTTGAGAGCATTTTAAAATAATTAATTGATAAAAAAACATTGATTTGAAATTAAATCTTAAATTTAAAAATGAAAAATAAATTGTAATATTCTATTAAATAATTAATTAATTGATGAATTTAAAACACTATGAATTAAAATTTCTTTCAATTAATTAATAAATTTAAAATGTCCATTCTTACCTTGAATGAAGTGAAGTTAGCAACCAACTTTCAAATCGACTGACTTGAAGATAGCCCGACTGGATAAGTTCCCCTAGGCCCCAGAGTGACCACTTAAGTATTTGATGAGAGGAGTCTCTTTCATGATTTTGAATGAGAAACCGGTGGTTGAAAGCTAGAAATAATGAGAAAGGTTGGATTTGTCTTTCATGGTTAGACTTTGTTTGTGGAGCAGTCTTGTTGGGATAGTCTCGAGGCGGAGGTCGGGCGAATTGAGGCTTAAGCCTCGAATGTCCGGGCGAGGCTTACGCCTTTTTCCACGGAGGCGTACGCCTCAATATGTGAGGCGCCGAGGCGCATCGAGGCAGCGCCTCGAAAGGGAGAAAGTTACCTTCAAAGCCAACGAGCTCCCGTTGTTTCTTCTTATCAAAATGTCGTAACTTATGATCCGCTCGGTACTGAGCAAGTATATGCTCGGTACTGAGCGGTACATGCTCGGTACCACTAGGTACACGCTCGGTACCAAGCCAGTACCACTAGGTACATGCTCGATATTGCTCAGTACATGCTCGGTACCGAACAAGTACCGCTCAGTTCCGAGCGGTACATGCTCGGCACTATTAATTACTTTATTTTTATCATTTTTTAGGCTTACGCCTCTATCCGCCTCGAGGCTTACGCCTTGCCTCGCTTAGCCAAAACGCCTCGATTCCCGATTTCACCTTTTAAAATGTTGTGGGATACTATCAGAAAACCACTTTTGTGGTATATCAATTGAAAGAAGATTCTCACAGAATTAAAATCCTTTTTAATTAATTAACTAATTAAATATGCAATTAAAAAAATATAAATGATTGCACTTAAATCATCTCTTGTACTATAGTTCACCTGATGACCCAAACTCAAACTCCACAACTACAAAAACTCAAACTCCAAATAAGACCCCAAGTCCCCAACTCTAACAAACTCCTGCAAATGATGGTTCTAAATACCTGCAAATAATTAAACAAGAACAAATTTAGTATTGTAACAAAACAACAGTGTTAAAAACAATGGTCAAAAGTATTGTAACTAAAACTACAGTGCTAAAAGCGAACTGTTGAAACTAAAATAGTGCTGAAGCAATAAGAAAGCTACTAAAGCAGGAAGAAAGTGACTAAAAATAGCTATTCCTAAATGCTACAAACTTAAATTACAAGCAACTTTCAATGAAAGTAGTAAGACCTATCCAAAACCTAAACTAGTAGGTAAGTTCTAATAGTAGTAAGACCTATTATTAATTAATTCATTGGGTAAACTTCTAAGTGAAGTAAACAATCACAACCTATTTCAAATATAAAAACTATCAGACAACTTTGAATGAAAGCAGTGAGACTTATCCCAAACTAAATTAACAAGCAATTTTCAATGGAAGCAGTAAGACCTACTCAAATTAATGTGTTGAGGGAGCTTCCAAATGAAGTAACTCACCCTAAATCAAATTCAAACTAAATCAAACCTACATGTAACTTCTAATGGAAGCAGTAAGGCCCATTGTTTGGGAAACTTCTAAGTGAAGTAATAATCTCTAAAATTAAATCTACGAGCAACTCCTAAATGGAGCCGTAAGCCCCATTCTAAATCAAATTTACGGGCAACTCCTAAGAGGAGCCTGATAGGAAGTACTTGAGTTCACAAGTAACCCTAAGGTAATACTTGAGTTCGCAAGCAAACCTACCAAAATGGATGAGCAAACATCAGTTTTACTGCTGTTTACAGCAGCAAAACAACAAAAATCAGGAGAAAACAGAGAGATACGAATCGAAATATGAAGCAAATCCAAGCAATTAACTTGTATTCCACTAGTAGACGAATAAAAACAGCAAACGTTACAATAATCTTCAATTCGAGAGGAATATTAACTCTCCAAAATCTCTAGTCAAGGAAGACTAGAGCCCACGCCTCCAAGATGATCCCCAATTCTTTTCAAACTCAAGATAAAACCAGACAGGGCTTCCGCCCCCTGCTTGGTTTCGCCTGGAATATAACTGGACCGGTCCAGCCGGCCTCTTCTGGGCTGGCCTAACAGTACTCCCCTTCCAAAGACTTACCTTGTCCTCAAGGTGAAATGAGGAGAATTGATCTTTCATTCTTTCAAATGGCTCCCAAGTAGTATCCAAGTCGGGAAGGCCTCTTCATCTAATCAACACTTCTTTGTTTCCCTCTTTATCTGATCTCACTCATGTAAGCTACAGTGGTTCTAAAACTACTTCCAAATTCTCAGTCAATGTAGCTGGGAGTTCTGTGCTAACTGCATGCTCCCTAGAGCTCTCTTCAACTAGGACACATGGAAAACTGGGTGTATGGTGGCTGATGGTGGTAACTTTAGTTGGTACGCCACTGCTTCGATCCTGTCCAACACCTAATAAGGGTTGAAGTATCTTGGAGACAGCTTCTCGTTCCCCCTTCTCGCAACTGTCCTTTGCCTGTAGGGGCATAGTTTTAGGAATACCTTCTCTCCCACCTCAAACTGTATGTCCCTCCTATGTGAATCCGCCTGCTTTTTCATGATTTGTTGTGCCCTCAGTAGATGTTTCATCAATTATTCCAGCACCTTGTCCCTTTCCTCCAAGTACTGCTCAACTGAAGAAAGTAGTGTGCTTCCCCTCCCATAGTGCACTAGGTGTGGGGGGTCCCTGCCATACATCACCTTGAAATGAGTCATTTGAGAAGCAAAATGGTACAATGTATTGTACCAATACTCGGCCCAAGGTAACCACTTCACCCACATCCGCGGTGTTTCAGAGGCAAAACACCTCAAATATGTTTCCAAGCTCAAGTTAACCACCTCTGTCTGTCCGTCTATTTGTGGATGGTAGACGGTACTTCTCTTGAGAATAGTGCCCTGTGCCTTGCATACTCCCTCCAAAACTGGCTAAGGAACACTTTGTCTCTATCAGATACAATCAACTCAGGAATCCCATGTAATCTCACAACTTCCCTGATAAATGTTGCCGCCACTGATACTGCGGTGTAAGGATGTCGTAAGAGAATAAAATGGGCATACTTGTTAAGTCGGTCCACCACTACAAAAATGATTGTGAATCCCTCTGAGCAGGGGAGGCCGTCAATGAAGTCCATGGACACTTTCTCCCACACTTTGTTTGGAAGTGCTGATGGTTGAAGTAGCCCTCCTGGTGCTATTGTCATATATTTATTTCTTTGTCACACCTCACACCTTGCCATCATCTCTTCAACATCCTTATACATCCCCTTCCAATAGAGCTTTGATGCCAACCTTCTATATATCTTATGTACTCCTGAATGCCCCCCAACTACATTGCCGTGAAATTACTGTAATAAGTGGGGAATGTGTACTGATGTTCGTAGCATCACAAATCTCCCCTGATGTAACAACCTCTCCTCCTCTAGATAGTATCCCGAATGGCTACTACTATCCTTCCTCAAGTCTTCCTTGATCTTCTTCAACTCTTCGCTCTGCATGCTTTCTTCCTTGATGCCCCCCCAGTTAACTATCAGTGGTACAGAAACTGTCTACTCCTGAAGTTCCCCAACACATCTGGATAAGGCGTCCGCCGCCTTATTTTCCACCCCTAGTTGATATTGGATCTCAAAATCATAGCCCAAAAGCTTTGACAACCACCTCTGATGTTCTTCGGTCACCATCCTTTGCTCCAACAAGTATTTCAAACTCCTCTGATCCGTACGAATA